GAGAAGAGGACAACAAACGAGGGGCTGTGACAAACTGTTTCGTCGGAGTTTCACCGACTCATCAGGAGGCTGAACCCTACAGACTGTCGGTTCACACCCCATCACAAGCCAGCAAAACACCCACATATATTTTTTACTATGTTCGACCGAACACGTTCGGGAGGCATTTGGCCGAACACACGAATAACATGTTCGGACGTTCGGAAAAGCCCCGAAAAGCCCCGAACATGTTCTGCACACGAAGTGCTGCTATGTCCTAGGATGAGTATACTATGGACTTCACTAGAATTGAGTATGTACTACGTACTACATACTACGTACCATGTACCATGTACTATGTACGATGCATATGTACTACGTACTACATACTACGTACCATGCACCATGTACTATGTACTATGTACGATGCACTATGTACTAAGTATTATGCATGTACTAGAATTGAGTACGTACTAGATACTATATACTACATACCATGTACTATGTACAATGCTCTGTGTACTACGTACTAAGTATTATGCATGTGCCATGTACCATATACGATATACTATGTCCTATGTCCTATGCACTATGTACATGTACCATATACGATATACTATGTCCTATGTCCTATGCACTATGTACTATGTACTATGTACTATGTATTGAGTACGTAGTAGAAAGTACACCGTAAATAGTTCAATTCTAGTGCAGTCCATACATGCTAATACATAGCACACAGTACCATCCAGTATGTACTTATGTATTAGTATAGTACCATGTACTATATACTTATGTATTAGTATGTATGGACGTCACTAGACTTGAACTATTTACTGTGTACTATGTACTATGTACTATGTACTATGTACTATGTACTATGTATTAGTATGTACTCTACTATGTACTATGTATTACTATGTATTAGTATGTATTAGTATGTACTCTACTATGTACTATGTATTAGCATATACTCTATTATGTACTACGTATTAGTAGGTAGTATGCAGCATATACTTGTGGTGCACCAGTGCACGCAAAGTTCACACATCGGGGGCACAGTCTGCACATTGGGTGCAGTACACGTGTCCACTGCGCGTGACCGTACGTTGTATTCGGGGGGAAGAAGGCAGTCGTAGACCGTAGTTCCCCTTGGTGTGTGAACGTGCTCTTTTTTGTCCGGGGGTTAGGTACTGCAAGGTAAAAATAGAGAAGGGGGGTATAAATCCTTGCTTGTCTGGGGTAGGTACTGTGAGGTACAACGTTGAGAGCAGATGGTAACATAGTGAAAAACGCGAAACGCGGCCGTCCCCCATATGACGAGAAGACAAGCCAGCATTAACAACAACAACAACAACAATGACAGCAACAACAACGACGACGACAACGACGACAACAATGACAACGATGACAACAACAACCACAACCACAACCACAACCACAACCACAACCACAACAACAACCACAACCACAACCACAACAACCGCAACCACAACAACAACAACAACAACAACAACAACAACAACAACAAC